ATCTGCTCATATGGAATGTGTTTGACATACACACTTGTCAGCCATTTATGTACTCCAGGTTCAACATAGAAGCAACTAGCAATTCAATAGAATATCTGCCCAGATGGAAAGTAGCCCACTGTCTAACATACTGAAGAGAAACGGGAATTTGGAAAAGAAATTATAACCTGAAACCATCTGGAGACATGAAGATTTGCTTTTTTCCAAGAGGTGATTTCAAATGTTTCTTCCAATTGGAGAGTAAAAAGTAAAAAAAAAGTGAAAAGTAGCTTTGCAGACCATTAAGGCCTTAATATAGAGTGCATAGAAGCTAAATTTTTAACCTTTCATGTGGTTCACTTCACATTAACAATGATATTAATAAATACTCATTATGGAAAATAGCATTTGTCACATAATATTATTGTGCTTTACAGTATGTTGACCATAGGAAAGTCATATTAATTGTGTTTCAGTAGGGCATGAAATGTATATTGCTGGATAGACTAGGATTTCTTGAAAAAAGTTACAATTTATGTTTGATATGAAGGCCATAAGCATGTGGAAGTATCAAACATTTAGGAATCCTTTGCAATGGTAAATTTATCCCAACTGGGATTTATTAAAGAACAAACTCAATTTTAAACACCTTTATCACGCATGATGAAGAAATGGGACGTTTAAAACTACTGGAGGTGATAAGTAACACTTCAGAGGATCTATCATTAAAAGTGGAAGTTATTCTGCATACCCACAGGGTTTGTTTTCTCTCTCTCAGCGCCTCGCCCCTTGTTCATTTGCTTTCTGTGTCTTTTCTCTCTTTCTCTCTCTTTCTCTCTCTTTCTTCTTCCCTCCCTCCCCCCCTGCTTCGTCCCTTGAATACCACTCTTGGATGATGAGGTGTATGCTCACACAAAGCCAAATTCCAACCACTAAAAGAAATATATATTTCTAATAGATAATTGTACATGATACATATTCATATATTTATTATTAGAAATAAACTATACAGAATACTTCAAACTTTATGCATGTTAACCAAATTTTTCGTATCTACCAGATTCATTGATGAAGAACACAGGACTGGCAAAATAGTGCCTCCTAATCGCACATGCCAGAATAAAGCCAGTACAAAACTCTGGCATGTGGAGCTTCAAACTGGAAGAAAAAAAATGAAATGTGCTCTAGCAAAGCACGTGTTGCACTCTTGGTTACAAAGCTATAAACAAAGTTGCAAAGATGGAAAATAAAACAAAACAAACACAACCCCAGTTACAAACAGGTTCTCCCTTATCTGCTCCAAAGTATCAGTTGCTCTCAAACAACTCATCCCAGGTCTGTCCTTCTCTTTCCATTATAAATGAAGTTTTTCTAGCCTAGCACAGAGGTGTCTGACTGAAAATGAATTCAGGTATATACAAGACTGTTAATTTATAAACATGTATCATGGGAATCATTATTGTATGTATAACTTATCAAATTCACCATCTCTAGTTTATTTTTCAGTGCTGCGGGTGTCATATGTGACGTATTCAATAAAGCTAACAGCAAAGATATCATACAGAATGCTGCCTTGCACCTATTCCAAATATCAGTATATTCTGTTGATTTTAAAGGTGCACACTGATCCTACTTTGTGCCAAAAGTACACCATTTCCAATTTCCTTCATCAAGGCTACATGTTAGCAATATACACTTTGTTTACTTCACTAATGTTTTTAGAAGGATTGAAATAATCATGTAAACTCAGATTTTGCTTCTTTGGTGTGTTTGGAAGGAGTTGATACCTATACACTGCCTGATCTGCTGTTTTTTTCTCCTGATCTTGTGCAACTTTCTTTCTCTGAATTTAAAACTTTCATATTGTGAGTAGAGAGCTTTTACTGCAGTACTCTAAGCTGGTGCTATATTTGGGTGGTTGCATTTTCCAGGTGATTACCCTATCATAAACTACTCTGGTAGCGTATTTTTCTGTTAGGAAAGCTTTTACCTTTTCTGCTTGTAGCTACTTAGACTCAAGGAAATTATGTTCTCACTAACTATTATTCTATTAGCCTTCAAAAGGAACAAGATATGTTGCACCTACTTCCTTTGATACTGTTCTCCAAAAGTAACCATATCCATCCTACAGTATTCGACATAAGGTCTTTAACAACTGGATACTACAAATTTAATCTTATGTGCAAATATTTCTGCAACTTCAAGCCACTATTCCAGGAGATAAACTGGATATTTTTGTAAATCTGGGGAGATGACATCTATATCTTTCAGATACCATGCCTCTAATAGAAATAGTTCTGTATTGTTCTGCTCAGAGATCTGGTGCTTCCCAAACAGGCACAAGCAGTAACATGTGCTTTGCTTGTGAAACCATTACATTGTAGTTTTCCAAGCACTTGACAAGTTATTCTTAGAATTATTAACTCTAAAAAGATATTACTTAATTGTGTGTCTATAAACTTCTTCCATAACCACTAAATAATGGTGAAATCTACTTCTGTAGATTTAATCATGTCATCAGTTCTTTTAAGGACTCCAGAATTATTTTTTCCTCTAGAAATGAGATTAGCTACAATGCATGAGTTTATTTTGTATTATCCACTGCTCTGTAAGATTTTTTATCTTCAATAAAACAATATATTTAACAAAAATTATTCTGACAGGCACTATGGATATGCTTCTTCACAAGGTTTCCTTTCAAATGTATGTATGAACTATGCATTATTTTATCAGAAGCTACTCAATCTCTTTCCTCTGAGACTATGTGGTTAATACACAGGATACAAAACTTTTATAAATTTTAGTTCTCTGGATAGCATTTTATAGATACTGCCCAAACACAGGATTAATCTCTTATTCTTAGCTGTTCTGAGAAAGCTCTAGATGTGGTTTTATTGTACCTTCACTTCTTTTGTGAAAAACCTTACTTTACATTTTATTTTAAGTTCTGTTGTATTTCCTTTTATGAAGGCCTCATCTTTTTTTCAGATCTTACGTCAACATCTTTTGCTAAGTTTAACACTGTTTCAACTCTTGTTTTATCTCCTTTGGTGATCTCTGATTCCTGCAGGTATGTCCTCTATTAGTTTCACCTTGATTCAAGACACTTGTCAGCTCACAGATCCCTTTGTACAACACTATTATTTCTCTTGACACAGATAATTTGTTATTGCTTGGAATCTGGCAGATGAATAAGAGCTGAATAATGTCTTTGATATGATTCACAGTTAATGAAGAAATAGTGCACGCATAGTGCCTGTTCTCCCCAAATAAGATGGGGGACAAAGACCAAAAGACATTTTACATACTTGCTTCTTTGCCTCTTTACATCTAATACTTCTTCCTCTAAACTTTAGCTCTAGAAGTCTTGTTCTGGCTTTATCATTGTTTTTCATCTGTTTTTTTCTGGTGTTTATGCTGCTTCTCTGATTTACACATAAGCAAAATAATTTGTAAAATAGCCTGGTCTCTGTTTCATATCACTTTGGCACTTCCACGGGCACTTATATTTCTGGGGCATGCTTCAGATGCTTCACAAGTTTGCATGCAGCTTATTCAAGGATTTTAAACTATCACTAAGATTTAATTTTCCCCATACTAAACCTAAATGGAAGTTGGTTTTCACCTTCCAAAGAACAAAAGTTTTATATATCAGAAAATATGAGATGTCAAAAAGAGCAGCAGGACTGAAGTCCAGTCCCTTCTGGCACTTATACGTCTACAGAACATATTCAGCAATATAAGAAGCCACAACAGAAGAGTGTGGAAAATTTGGTATATGGATTAAAACTAGATTCCTAACAAGTAAATATTTGAAGACAGAATGAACAGAATCATAATTTCTGCAGGAGATGTCCATTTCATAGCAAATTACTGAAATAATGAAAATTATAAAGATGTTATTAAATTTGCAGTAAATATCTACAACATATAGGGAAACCTATATTTGATAATACTAGATACCTCTTCATCCAAGATATTCCAGTAAAGTTTATTTCTTAACCTTCCTTACCATGTCCTTGATTTAAAGTACTGACACAACTTTCCCCATACAATGATTTAGTGTATACTATTAATACAGATAAAAGCAGTACCAAATGAAAGACCTATTTCAGAAAAACATAAAATATATTCACATCAATCACAAAGAGATAAATTCTTCTTAAAACTAAAGTTAAAATAAATACTGGCCTTGCAAAGAAGTCAGCAGAATGATCTTACAATATTAAGTAGGATCACTGTGCAGTACTGACAGAGTCTTTGTGTCACGCCATTTTTTATTCCCATCTATTCTGAAATCTAAGCCAAATCCTCAGCTTATGTCCTTCAAAAATCAATGCAGTCAATGGGAACTCACAACCTCAGTGCCTGCTGAATTCCATCCTGTGGATTCTAGCAGCAAAACTAATGTTTGTAGTTAGCTTCTAATCTTCCAACAAAAGTTTTGTACCTAGTCAGGAACATTTGAACTGGAAAATATTTACAAGATTGGAATTGATCTGCAAAACCATAGGTTTTGCAAAACAAGGTTATTTCAGTATTTTTTTTTGTCTGTAGATTATACATGGCATGTTATGGAATCTTTCCTCCTGTTCTAATAATCTCAGTGATCAGCCTTCTCAGTATAGAAGCATTATCCCCATTTGCTAATGCAAGCCTTGTACTACTAGCACCTCTTCCTCTAAAGAGATCAACATTTTAAAACTATTTTTTAATAAAATAAACTGCTGTGAAAAGTACTTTTTGTTCTTGTTGTTGAATATATGGAAGGCACCATGTAAGAGAAAAATATCATATGAAAATGTCCAATTTTTTATAAAGTAACTATTTTTTTCTGTTTAGAAAATTCAATAAAATCCATAAATGTTGATAAAATATGTAATATTTTCTCTAGGTGGGAAAAAGAGAATGAAAAAAAATGTTAGCAATGTAGAGAAAGCAACAGTCTATTAGAGCTTTTCTATGCTACTGCAGCAACTAAGATTAATGAATGGAGAACAAATGGTTGACATATCACCTACCCATGGGAGTTCCAACACCGTAACCTTTTGAGTCTATCAGGCCTCCAATCTGTGTCAGGTTACAGTTCCGCTGTGTGACAAACTCAATGGTTGTCGACTCCATTAAAAATGCATAATCAGAGGTAAGCACACGCTGGATACCTTCTTCATTACTTTTGACAAGTACTGACTGCCTCCTGCTACTCATGAAGGCCCACATCTTGTCATAAGTGGAGATTTTGGATTTCTGAAAGAGAAATATTAGATGCAACATGAATAAGAATAATATGCTTATAAGAGTGAAAGCAAATTCTGTTCGCACATTGCTGTCTTATAGTATTTTTTACGTGTCAGGTTTTACCAAGGCATTCTTCTAAGGGTGACTGTACCTCTCATCTTGTCTGTGTAAAACAAAACAGCTGGATGGATTCTCAAGAAAATGCGCAATATCTGTTGGTTTTCTGGTTTTTATTGTTTATATGTTTTTATGTAGGATGAAGGTCTAGAAGTATTTGAAGTCAGTGGAAAACTATTAAGTATTTCACTGTAGCCAAGTTCATCAACAATGTTGGTGAGTGTTATAGGAGAATCTGTAGATTCTGGCACATTTTACTCTTATTTCAATCACTCAGCTACTCCTGAGCAATTCTGAAAACCTAATGCACAGTGTGGCAACCTGAAGTAATCAAAGCACTTAGAGATGGCAGTATATGGAGAAAACAGTTGTGAGGCAGAGGGCAGCAAACATTTTATCCATGGTACACGGCAAAAATACTTCGAGAAAGATTTAAGGTAAGACAGAATATCACACTCTGGTCACACTAGCTTGCCATTCAGAAATTGACTACTAAAAGTCCTAAAAATGAATATGTGCTTTCTGCTGTAATATTCCCAGAATGCAAAGAACTGTTGTGACAGGAAGAGAGACAGTTGTTTGGGAAAAAGGAGATACTAGTTTGGCACAAAGTGATGTTGTGTAACTATAGAGGAGTTTCTTTCTTTCTTTCACCTCAGTTTCTTTAAAAAAAAGATGTTACCTTCCCTCATCTTTGTAAACACAGTGCTTAGGAGATCATAACCACTGGATACATTGAAGGTATTAGAAGCACTGAACATCTTATATTACATTTCCCCAATCTGTTTAATAATGTTTCAAACTCAAGATGTATTAGAAAATGTTCAGTAATGTTAAATCTTACCTAGTAAATAAAATGTAGAAATACAGCATGAGAACTAGTATAATCAGACTTTTTAAGGAGTCTTTCACCTTTTAATGTCAGCCTTAAACATAACTCTGCCGTCAGCTCTGGTGGAGATACTAAAGATTGACACTACAAACCTTTCTGAAGTTCAGCTGATTAGCAGCCATAAATTCCACCCCAGACGAGAATTAACAGTGTATGTGGAATAAAAAGAACATTTATTTAGAAAAAAGATTACTTTGTCCCCCTGCTGAGATACAATCCAAGAGTTATTTCACTCTGCCTCAGGACTTAGCAAATCAAGCATTTGAGCTAACTCCAGTGTCAATGCTAGCAAAACTGAAGACTTTTAGGACTCTGCATGAACACATTATTAGTGTACTGAACATATTCTGTGGCTGATTGCAAAAGATTTTAGTAACAATGAAAGGGGAAATCATTTTTCTTCAGAATATACTGTGAACATATAGAATAGAGAAGACCAAACAGATATGGTCTCTCCTCATAGGGTTTGTTTTGAAAATCAAATAATTCTTGCAAACAGTTAATATTGCACTGTAGCGTAACATACTTTAAGCAATTCACATCAGCTCTGTAAGAATCTAAATTACTGTAATACAGAAAGAATAGAAAATGAATGTTTTTCAATATTTGTAAAATTTTACCAAGAACCTGTGTTTAATTCTTTTGACATATAATCTTTACCCCAGTACACAAAACAAACATTTTAGCCACTATAAAAAAAATCGAGCAATATAAAAAATTGGCAGAGAAAACAATTTTAGTAAACTGTTAGATACACATTGCTGACGTGTGTTGAGGAAAAAATAAGAAAAAGCTAAATGAGTTATAATAGAAAATAAAGAAAGAATAAATTGTAATACATATGCATTTCTATATTTCTGTTAAAAAAAAAAAAAAATCCACAATGAAAACATGTTAGCAAGGGGAATGGTTGCTCTCTACTGAAGCATTAGATCATGTGAAAAAATACAATGTCCTCTAAAGGACAGGGTGCTTATATTATGATGACTGATTTAATCAGATACAATGAAGCCACAGCTACTATTGAAAAGGAAGGAACAAAGGTCACCAACAAAATCAGAGAAAGCTCCTGCACAGGATAGCTCACTTACTGGAATAATTAAAACAAAAAAAAAGTCTATGAGTGATTAGTGAGACTGTAGAAGATAACACAAAGCCTAGAACATCAGTGCACATGGCTCACCACTGTGAAGCTAACAAGGGTGATAGAAAGTGCACAGTGATCTCTCAGTTTTCTCATATAGACAGAACACTACAATGTCTTTGCACCACTTTCTACCACCCCTAAAAGCTAAAAGTCAGAATTGAAATGATGCCAAGGAAAACAGCCTATCTACTTGTGACCCCTAAATTCTAACTAGCATTTAGAAATTCTTACCAAAAATGTGTATAGTACAAGTTATAGGATTTGCTTTACACACAGCAGAGAATGTTTTATCTGAAAATAATAATAAAAAAAAACAACAAAAAAACAAAACCAAAAACAACAACAGCATTTGATTCAGGAAAATACAACCACAAGCGGTTTTCCTCTGTGTTTGGCAAGCTGCTCAGCAGACTCACATGAGTAAAATCAAGAAGCCAGAACAATCAAAAGTATCAGGAGTCCATTTGACATTGAACTAAAGAGAATGACGCTCCAATGGGTACATATCGCTTCTTCTGGTTATGACTGTGTCATTCATACTGATAAAAGCAGATGCTGCAATTTACATTGTTTCCATCTTTTTTTCACCGTGTGCAAATCAATCTGGTTAATCAATTTATATAATCCATCAATGAAGTGTATTATTTTGTCTGGGTTAGTTCACCATATTGTTTCATCTAACTGGAAATTGCTGTCTGGAAATCCAACCTAAATTGAAATCAACCAGAAATGATGTCTGTGTAAGACAACTTGTGGTGACATGATTTATCATGCTTATGTTCCCTCAGTAATGCTGCAGACAATGCAGAGCAGTAAGAAAGCTGCCTGTGCTTTGTGACATTTGAATTTCACTGGAATAAAAAAAGAGAACTAACTAACAGGAAAGATGGAGATGAAAAGCTTAAGCAAATCAAGAAACTCATCTACCTGGTGCATAAAATGGTAGCTCTCACAACGACATTCAGAGGATACTGTCAGTGACAGTAACTCTCAGTGACTCAGCATTCATAAATTAAAGATCATTGGAGGATAACTGTGCATGTCAGGGATCACAAAAGGAAGCATGGCAAAGGCTCCAAGTTAGTCTAATGCTATGTACAAATGTGAGGCTGGAAACAGAAGGAATCATCGTTAGTAATGTGTTACTTACTGCTCTATCCTGAAGCACTGGCTAGGAAAGACAAATATCTGAACAGTGAGACTCTGGAACACAAGGTTAGAAAAATATCAGGATGTTGAATGAATGCCAGAATAAACAAGGTTCAAAGGACAGGGAAGCAGATGTCATGATACAAGAGAAGATTGGATAAATGCACAGCAAAAAATGTGCCAGGGAAATTCTGACATTTTTCTACAGAGGAAAAATTACAGATCCATTAATCATAGAATCATAGAATCACAGAATCAGAATCATTAAGGTTGGAAAAGACCCTTAAGATCATCGAGTCCAACCGTTAACCTAGCACTGCCAAGTTCACCACTAAAACATGTCCTCAAGCACCACGTCTACCCGTCTTTTAAATACCTCCAGGGATGGAGACTCAACCATTTCCCTGGGCAGCCTGTTCCAATGCCTGACTACCCTTTTGGTGAAGAAGTTTTTCCTAATATCCAACCTAAACTTCCCCTGGTGCAGCTTGAGGCTGTTTCCTCTCATCCTATCACTTGTTACTAGGGAGAAGAGACTGACCCCCACCTTGCTATTACTGGAGATTTCTATTTTAATGATAGCACTCAACTTCTTTCCTGGCTTCTAAAAGCATTTGGGTATCACAGACAATGCCTCAGCCTTGCTTTCACCCATGCAATATTTAAACTCAAAAGAGGCTATAGTAACAAAGGAAAGATTAAAGGTAATTAAGACTAAATTTTGAGAAAAAAATAAGTAAAAAAAAAGTCAGAAGCCCAGATCTTATGTATTTTACGAAAGCACTCACCACCACATAAGAATTAAACCATGACAATCTTTAAGTCAAAAAAATCCCACAGACTCCCAATCCTACTACTCTATTTTCCATTTATTACGCTGCCTATAAGAACTATGTGACTTTTGTTTTCCTGAGCATTGCATTCTTAGTGGACACAGGCCACTTTTCTTAAAGTTGCTTGATTCATGGATTTGTTTAAGGCCAAATGAACAATTATGCACATTTATTCTGACCTTCTGTAATACACAGACTATGAAATGCCACTTCTGAATTACTTCACCAAGCTCATCACTTATGTGTTTGCACTGACAAAAAGAATGACATAAGAAAAGTGCATTCATAAAGACCCATCTATATGAGCCTTAACAAGGTGCCCAACATGGTTTCTTACAACATCCTTGATTAAAAGCTGGTACAATATGGACTGGACAGATGGAGCACCTACAGGTGGAGAACTGAGATGTTGATCTTGAAAGGTGGTAGTTAACAGCTCAAAGCCAGGTTGGCATCTTGTCATGAGTGGAGTGCCGCAGGGGTCAGTCCTAGACCTGATACTATTCAATATCTTTATAAACATTTTGGAAAATGGTATTGAAAGCACTCTCACCAAATTTGTGGATGACACCAAACAGGGAGGAGAGGTGGATACACTGGAAAAAAAAAAGTTACTATGCAGAGAGACCTCAAGAGGCTGGAAAATTTGTATAACAGGAATTGCATAGGTTTAACAAAGATAAAAGCAAAGTCTGTCCTGGGAGAAAATAATCCCAAGCATCTGTACTGCCTGGGAATTGACTGGCAGGAGCGTATCTTGGCTGAAAAGGACTTACGGATCCAAGACGATAGCAAGCTGAACATAAGTAAGCAGCCCATCCTGGCAGCAGGAAAGCAAACTGCAGGCTGTATCAGCAAGACTATAGCCAAC